AAACGAAGAACACGTTCAGCATTTCTCAAGCTGGGGGAATTGAAGAAAAAATTGAAGCCTCGACTTTCGTTATTGAAAGACTCTCTGGGCAAATTACTGAATGATGCAGAAAAGGATCAAGAGAAGATGGAAGGCATACACAGAGTCACTGTACCTAAAGAAAATGGCTAATGCAACCGTTTCAAGAGGCAGCATATGATCAAGAGCCAATGATACTGAAGGAGGAAGTCCAAGGTGCATTGAAGGAATTGGCAAAGAACAAGGCACCAGGAATTGATGGAATAAAAATTGAGATCTTTCAAGAAAGTGAGGCAGCACAGGAGGTGCTCACTCATCTCTGCCAAGATTTTTGGAAGACAACTATTTGGCTGACTGATTGGAAGAGATCCATATTTGTGCCCATTCCAAAGAGAGGGCCCAATGGAATGTGTTAATCATCGGACAATCGCTTTGATATCCCATGCGACTAAAGTTTTGCTAAAGATAATACAGAAACAGCTACAATCATACATTGACAGAGAACTTCCAGAGGTTGAAGTCAGATTCAGAAGAGACCGTGGAACGAGGGATATCATTGCTGATGTCCAATGGATCCTGGCTGAAAGCAGAGAATATCAGAAAGATGTTTACCTGTGCTTTACTGACTATGCAAAAGCTTTCAATTGTGTGGATCATGACAAGTTATGGGCAACATTGCAAAGTAAGAGTATTCTGGAAAACTTAATTGTGCTCATGAGGATTCTGTACCTGGTCCAAGAAACAGTTGTTTGAACAGAACATGAGAACACTGAATGTTTTAAAACTAAGAAAGGTGTGTGACAAGGTTGTATTCTTTCACCATACTTATTCAACCTGTATGCTGAGCAAATAATCTGAGAAGCTGGGTTATATGAAGAAAAACGTGGCATCAGGATTGGAGGAAGACTCATTAACAACCTGTGATATGCAGATGATACAACCTTGCTTGCTGAAAGTAAAGAGAACTTAAAAACATTTACTGATGATGATAAAAGAGCACAGCCTTCGATATGGATTACATCTCAATGTAAACAAAACAAAAATCCTCACCACTGGACCAATAAACAACATTCTTATCATCGGAGAAAAGACTGAAATTTCAAGGACTTCATTCTTCTTGAATTAACTATCAACACACAAGAAAGCAGTAGTCAAGAAATCAAACGATATATTGTATTAGGCAAATCTGCTGCACAAGACCTTTTTAAAGTGTTGAAGAGCAAAGATGTCAACTTGGGACTAAGGTGTGCCTGACCCAAGCCATGGTATTTTCAATGACCTCATATGCATGTGAAAGCTGGACAGTGAATAGGGAAGACTATAGAAGAAATGATGCTTTTGAGTTATGAGTTGGTGTTGGAGTTGTGGTGTTGGTGTTGGAGGAGTTTATGAGTTATGGTGTTGGAGGAGAATATTGAAAGTGTCATGGGCTGCCAAAAGAATCAATAGATCTGCTTAGAAGAAGTACAGCCAGCGTGCTCCTTGGAGGCCAAGATGGCCAAACTTTGTCTCTCATACTTCACATATATTGTCAGGAGGGACACTGGAGAAGGATCTCATGTTTGGTAAGGTGGATGGTCAGAGAAAAAGAGGAAGATACCCAACGAGATGGATTGTCCAAGTGGCAGCTTTGATGGACTCAAGCATGGCAACAGTAGTGAGGTTGGCCCAGGATCAGGCAATGTTTCGTTCTGCTGTGCATAAGGTCGCTATGGGTCGGTACCAACTCGAAGGCACCTAACAACAACAACAATTCCTCATGGACATAGATGCAAAAATTTTCAACAAAATCCTAGCCAACAGAATTCAACAATATATCAGAAATATAATACATCATGACCAAGTGGCATTCATATCTGTGATGCAAGGATAGTTTAACATTAGAAAAACAATCAATATAATCCACCATATAAATTTTAAGGAAAAGAACCACATGATTATATCGACTGATGCAGAAAAGACATTTGACAAAATCCAACACCCATTCTTGACGAAAACACTCTACGAAGTCGGAATTGGAGGGAAATTCCTCAACATAATTACGGCATATATGCAAAACCAACAGCAAACATCACTCTCAATAGAGAGAAACGAAGAGCCTTCCCTTTGGGAAAAGGAACCAAACAAAGATACCCTTTATCACCACTCCTATTCAATACTGTGTTGGAAGTTTTAGTAAGAGCTATGAGGCAAGAAAGGGAAATTAAAGGCATCCACACTGGCAAAGAAGTAAAACTATTTGCAATAAGATCCTGTACATAGAAAATCCCTAAATCTCAGCAAAAAAATTATTGGAGCTCATTGCAGGAGTCAACAAAGTGGTAGGGCATACAAAATCAACATACAAAAATGAGTTGGATTCCTCTATGCTAATAAAGATAGCTCTGAAAAGGGAATTAGGAAAATAATACCATTTACAATAACCACCCAAATGGTGAACTACTTAGGAATAAATCTAACCAGAGAAACAAAATTCCTATACAAAGAAAACTACAAAACACTTCAATAAGAAAACTAGAGATTTATGAAAATGGAAATATATACCATGCTTATGGATAGTAAGACCCAACATTGTGAAAATGTCAATACTACCCAAAGCAATGTACAGATATAACGCAATCCCAATCCAGATTCCAGCAACATTCTTTAAAAAGATGGAAAATATGATCACGAACTTTATATGGATGGGAAAGAGACCTTGGATAAGGAAAGCAGTGCTTAAGAAGGACAATATTGGAGGCCTCTCACTCCCTGATCTCAAAACTGACTACAAAGCCACAGTGGTCAAAACATAGCTCGGTACTGAAACAATGAAGTTCATGCCTAAACTCCAGGTTCATGCACAAAAGTCTTTCTCTTCAGTTTTTCCTTTAAAATCACAATAAAAAAATAAGATAAAAATGCAAAGGAATTCCACCAGTACTGACCACTTTGATTAGGACCACTCACAGTAGGAAGTCCTGGGCAGTGCAGAGTGGGAGAAAATGTAGAACAAAATTCAGTTCATGAAGAGGACTTTTAGAGACTGGTGGGACCGTGACTGTAGTCCTTGGGCATCCTTGGAACCAGGAACTGACCCATCCCTGGAACTCACCTTTCAGTCAAACAGTGGACAGGCCTATGAGGAATGTGCTCTTCAAAACACATGGCCATACAGAGCAAGGGGTCAGCATGTGCCCAGGGGCACAGAGTCCTTGTGTGACTCAGCAGGATAAGCACTGGACTGCTAAGTACAAGGTCGGCTATTCAAACCCACCAGCCACTACCCCCCGACACCTTATAGGGGTCGGGTCACTATGAATAGGAACCAACTGGGATGGCACTTAACAGCAACAAAACCAAGGCTCGGAAGGCAGGAGGGAGCAGGAGAGGCGAAATGGACCCATGGGACCCAGGAAGGATGTGCGAACGTGCTGTTCTAGGAGAGGACTGCTACTCAGGGCATAAAATAAAATATCTAAAAATTGTTGAAGGTGAAAATAAAGGGCTCTGTAGACTTTCCTCAAATCACAATAAAATGTCCTGGAAGAAAGAAATAAAAAGGGATTCTTTCACTTACCAGTAAAGCAGCATTAGTGTGTATGTGTGTGTGTGTGTGTGTGTGTGTGTGTGTGTTTTGTTGTTGTTGAGTGCTGTCAAGTCAGTTCATACCCATAGTGAACCTGTAGAGTGTTTCCAACGAGCAGCTGGTGAGCTTGAACCACCGACCTTGTGGTTCAAACCAACTTTGCAGTCCAGTGCATTAACCAAAGGCACCACACCAGGACTCCATAGGCGTATATACATATAGACACACATAATTCCTTCTCATACCTGTTAATGTGATATCATATGGGTACACACATAGTGGAAGCTTTGGAAGTCACTGAGAATACTATTCGGCTTTAGGTACAAACACTGAGCAATTCATAGCCACTGGCTTGCACAAATGCTCAGTGATGTGCAGTGAAGACACACCTCACGTCCACGGACGTCACTATGGGTCTCTAATCTGCTCTACACAGAAGGGCTGGTAGCACAGTGGATTACGAGCTGGGCCGCTAACTGCAAGTCAGTAGTTTGGATCTACCAGTCACTCTACAGGAGAAAGATGAGGCTTCCTGCTCATGTAAAGACTTACAGCCTCAGAAACCCTATACAGGGTCAGTGGGAGTCGGAACCGACTCGGGGGCACCCCCACCCCTACACAGAAAGCAGACACAGTCAGGCACTGTCTGATTCAGGGCTCAGATAAACTCACAAAACCACGCGAGGTCATCAGGCTGAGTGGCAAGCAGTAGTTTTGCTTTTTCCAGCTGTCTTTTGGCTTAACACTGAGGCAAATCAGCATTGATATTGAAAACACAATTTTGAAGGCATTCATGAGCCCTAAATATAAGACAGAAAAACAGGAATAACTGTTGTCTAAGTTTTTAAAAATAATCAGTGCATCAAAATGTCTAGTGATGAATAACTAATGTTATTTTCTTTCCTGCTGCAGAAACAATTCCCGATAGCAGTTCAAAGCCACCAGCTGCTCCGTGGAAACCCTACATTGCGTCGCCATGAGCTGGAACCGACTCAATGGCATTTAACAACATATCTTTGACAGAAACGACTTAATTTTTTCTTCATATTCCCCTTTTTTTCTTTGTTCTGTATAAAATATTACAAAGAAAGCTCAGCATAAAGAAAGTATCATAGTGACATAGGGGTTCTTACAGAGAGATGGCAGTTCAAATACACTAGCTGCTCTGCGGCAGAAAAGATGTGGCAATTTGTTCCCTTAGGGACCCTCACTGTGAGGCAGTTCTGCTCTGTCCTCTGAGGCCACTCTGGGTTGGAAGCAGCGTGATGGCCGTGGCTTAGGTTTGATTATCGTTAACTATGCCATTAGGAGGAGATGAAGCAGAATAAATGTAGATAAAGTTTACTGTTTATTTCTTCATTACACACAGGACATTAACAGTGGTCCATATCGTTTCTAACATCAGGAGATTAGATTACGACTCCAGCTCGGGTTTCTCCACCTTCATTACCACCTCAGGAGGCGCCGTGACGGCAGCAGCAGCGCTGGCCGTCTGGTCGTCCACCTCCGCCTGCACTTCTTCCTTGATTTTAACAGGCTCACTTCCGGCCTCTTCCTCTTCGTCAGAGGACTCATCGAGCTCCCATTCGTCATCTATGTCCATCTCAAATACTCGCACATGACGGAGATTTGAACTTAACTAAAGAAGGAAAGGGTGTAAAAAAGTCACTTTTTAAAAAGTAATGGATTAACCAATACATTATACGTAGCGGTGGTGTGCCACTGAGTCGGTTCCGACTCACAGTGAACCCGCAGAAAATTTCCAAGGCTATATAGCTTTTTATTTTTTTTAAATGCTTTATTGTGAATTATGTGCTAGTTTACATGGGAGACCATTAGTTTTACATTCATCCTATCGTATATCATTTCATTGCCATGGTTACAATCCCCTCCATGCATCATCAACCAACCCCAAAGCTATACATCTTTATGGAAGCAGAAAGCTTTATCTTTGTCCTGCTGAGCATCTGGTGGATGCAAACTGCTAACCTTGTGGCTAGCAGCCCAACGAGTAACCCACCACATCACTAGGACTCCTTAATATGTTATATATAAGGAATTACAAATTAGAAGCCTGAATCAAAGAATGATTTTACAGAAAAGCTGAAGGCCTGTTAATTTACAACACAATCACTAAATCCTGCCTTAATTTTGTCTAAAAGGCTGTCCACATCCAACAATGACAATGTGATTATTACAATTGAGACTGTTTCCAACTCCTGAATAAGTCTGCTCAAAACCTGAGAACTAACTAGCTAAGGGAACTATGTGCTCACTGCCAAAACTACAAACAATGACAAATCACACAATTTTGTTCTGATAGGACCCTGTGTATCCAATACTGTGTATCCAATACTTCTCCATAGAAGAATGGCACGCCTTCACGGTTACTTCACAATCTGTCCCAGCACTTACCACACAGGATACTTTTCGAAAGCCATTTCCGGCCACATACTGCGCTTTCATACTCTCCAGCAGCCTCCAGTGTTTCTCGAAATGCAGGGTACGCGTGGGGATGGCAACGCACTGCTCATCAAGTCTAGAAGGAGACAGATGCAGCCACAGCTCAGGTGTGAAAGGGGGACCTTCTCCCTGGTTTACTCGGGGTCAATCGTGCGTTCAACTTCTATACAGCCTATTCCCAATGTAATCCTACCAGTCACTAGGCTAAAAAGTTGTGATACTGTATTCTATTAGAAATACTGCATTGTCAAGTAGGCCAAGGTCATCTCAGTAGTTCTTCATTCCCTTTCAAGGAGGAGAAAGGAACACATTTTAAATTAAAGACGGCTCTGGGTACTTCAGCCTTCGTCAGCTAAAGCCATCCCTTGGAATAGTGCGTACACTCCCCGTGTGTACTGAGATTCTAATTTTGGAAACTAATTAATTCTACAAACTGAGGTTACTGCTACTTTTGAAAACAGAACTAAAAGATATTTCATGTCCTATGGCCAATAGTTCACCATCTACCTTGTTCCACCAAATACTTCTGATACTGGTAAAGCAAAGGAACAGAGCTGCTGCTGAAGTCATTATTTGTTGAGTTAAAAATAGGATTATTTCTGCTCAACTGACTATATGGCTAATTCTGGTGTTATGGATTGAACTGTGTCCCATCCCCCTGTTCTCCCCACACTCCCCCAAAAGAAAAATATGCCTAATCTTGTAATCCCTTTGGGAATGGGATATCTCTGCTATGTTCATGAAGCTTGATTAGTGTACAGGTATCTTGAGTCCACAACCTCTTCATAGATATAAAGAGATTAAAGAAGCAAGGGAAAGAAGGAGATGGAGAAGATGTGAAGCCCAGAAGCAGAAACTCAGACAGGGACCCTCCTCCACAGTTAACACAACAAGATAACCTTCCCCAGGAGCTGGAACCCGGAATTCACACGTCTGGCTTCCTGAACTGTGAGAAGAACGTTCTGTGTGGAGCTGTAGGATAAGCACTGGACTACTACCACAAGGTTGGTGGTGGAAATCTACCAGCCACTCCTTGGAAACCCTTTACAGGGTCCCTATGAGTCAGGACCCATTCAATGGCATTTAACAACAACAAGTGGAATGGGTGACACCCACTGAAGGCGTTTAACTGTTGTATCAGAAAGACAAGTCTCCGGAGTCCATACCTTGTAGAGTAAGTCCCACTGAATTGACAGTCTGCAGAATCTTCACTTTTGTACACGGAAGACAGCGGCAATTGGACCAAGAGTCTGTCTCTTCCTTCACGTCCTACAGTATCTTTAAGAACTACTGTCACAGTTTCATCATCATAAAACTGTGCATCCAAACAACTGTAGGTACTAAAATCAAAGTAAGTTTAGTATCATCAGACGTGTGGAGAAAATACTGCATGCATAACACTATTCTAACAGCAGGCAAAAAAAGAGGATAATAATGATTATGTGACATTTTGTACAATAGCCTTTAAATTATATCAATTTACACTAAAATCAGAGTTATCTCCTACACTGATTATTCACAAATATAACTGGGTCTTATAAAAAAATGTGTGACATTGGATCACAATTCCAGAAGCTTCTTGACATTAATAGGCCTTTGGTCAGTGAAAATCTCAGGAATGATACCGTATATAAGCCTTGGGAAAAGGGAGTTAATTAGACTGATTCTAATATACACCAGAGAATGAAATTAAGATTTTACACATTAAATACAGCAGCCATCCCAAAGATCTTACCATAGAAATCAAGAAACAGAAAGTGAGGAAAACATTGGCCTGTGATAGTGTCTTTTCCCTGCGAAGCTTCAGGGACGGCTTAGGCATTACTACCCTTGTGTAGCCAGCTGAGTGAGAATGATCCCACTTCACATTTGTTTTGGTTCCTAACAAGCACTGTAGCCCTAGAGGGCTTCTGCCTTTGGAAACCACATTATTTACACTGCAGCCTTCCAGCTGGGAATCTCAGAGGAAACCACACCACAGACATTTCCTTGGTATGAAGTCCGAATCGGGCCCGCTGGGGTGGAAGTGACAATGCCCTTGCCCACATCACCACTACAAGAGTATGACCACATTCCTATAACTGCAATCATGAAACACACAAGCACATCACCTCAATGTGTGTATCTCACCCAAACGAGATCCAAGACTTACCTTCTCCTCACTTTTTCAGTTGTAGCATAGGTGAAGCTCCCGAATTGAATAGCCACTAGAGCATTACTTACAGATCTCAGAGAAAGAAAGGGGGAAAACAGACTTTGTAGAACAACTTGGACAGCCAACTTGAAAGAACATGACTAGCAAGGTTAGTTCATTTACCGAAATACCAAAAACCCAATTACTGTTACTTTCGCTCTAGAATACAGATAATGTAACTTAATTAAAACAGCTAGACAGATAAGGCTAACATCAAAACTGCAACTTGGTTTAAAATCTTATCATCACCACAGTAGCTCAACACCTTGTAAAATTTGGGTAAAAATGGAACAACTAAACTACTTCTTTTTGGCTGTATCTTGATCTCAATAAATTTCTTTTAAATTCAGATTTAAAACCATTTAAGATTCTAATGACACTCTGGTATGTATCTTATAGAATTTTAACTTTGGATATCAAAAGACATCTCTATGGGTAAGGCCTCTTGTTCAATGAAAAACATACTTAAGCCAAGGTGAAAATCCATTCTACAAAGAACTCGATAATACAGTTTGAACTTCTAAAAGTTCATCAAATATAATCCTGAAATTTTTGCTGCTATATTTTTTTAACCCTATGGGAAAAAAAGGCTATCTGCACTACAAAATGACACAATCTAGAAATAGAAGGTATCAAAGCCTTCCTATTTGGCATCATTATTGCTTTCATAATATAGAAAGCAACTCTGAGAGCAATTCAGTGACAAGTCTAAGTCACGAGGAAGTTTAGGAGCAGGGCTCATGGCTGTCACTAAAATCTGAGTCACTGGGAGAGAAGCTGTGTGTTTTCCTATTAGAAATAATCATCTCAACTCTGTGATTCAAACTTTCAATAAATACTTACTGTGAAATATCAGTAGGCCTCCTTAAGATACACATTTTATAAAGTGAATCTTCTAAAATAGTAAAAATAAGATAATGGAGATTTGAAGTTTTATTATTCCACCTACGGAGGAAAAATTACCGTCAAAACAGGACAATTAGCTATGGATACTCAGAATGAAATTGTTATTCTTCAAGTTAAGATCGCAGAGAAACACATACTTACAGAAATGGGAATTTGAATAGCCTCCGTGTACAGTCTCCACTGAAACAAAGCAAAAGAAAACAGAGCTAAACAAAGCAGCAAAAACATAAACTGGCTGCTGGCTTCTACCAGACAAACAGCGAATGGACCTACCTTCTAGCATCTCTATATAAAGGAATACAGATTGCTTGATTCATCGACTGTCCAATTACATCCTATAAAGACATGGTGTCAAGACGTCACTAAAGCACTGGCACACACAGAAATGCTTCATAACAAGTGACTCTTCAACTCGACTTAAGAAAGTATCTAGATCAGCAAATCTCTGACCAAATAATTTTTTTTTTTCATATATAGTGTTTTGTTTCATTTCTTGATGAACATATTATGTGACAAAACATCTTCCATCTCAATATTCATCACATGGACATGCCACTGACATCACTCTGCTGTTTGCAAATGTTTCTGCCACCTCAAACAGATGCTCCCTGCAACCTAAGCTGTGAGTCTCGGTTTCCCCATCCTGCCCACCCCAAGTTGTTAGGTACAAATCCAAGTTCTTTCTTTTGCATGTTATACAAGAGACATCCATGACAGAGAACATTCTGAACTGAAAGGGATCTGACGTAAGAGAACCCCCTCTTCTAGTCCTCCTAATACATGCTGGTGGTAGATGTGAGCCACGTTAGCACTACAGAGAAAACTTTCTAAGTGAGTTTGTTCTGGGAACTAATACAACACTACAGGTAGCAACAATTTCAGTGACTGTATAGATATATACAGATACATAATATATATACAACATAAATACACATTTCCTTTTTATTTAGGCAAAATACCAATAATAAATATTAGGTTGGATCATACGCCATGGCCATTTCTGAGAGTCAAAAACAGCTGAAGATCAGCATTTTCACATGGGTCATCCAAATAACTGGGCTGATGTGCACACGTGAGCAACATGCTACAGACAATGGGCTTGCTCCTGCACAGAGATACTCCTTGCTTTCACACTTACTGCTGGCTTCTGCAAACAGTGATCAATGATGGTCTCCATCCGCCTTTTCACAAAATGCAATGATTTTCGTGGATAATAAGGAAACAGCAAAGGACTTTCTGTTTTCAAAGAAAAAACAGAAACAAAAGAGCTGTAGCAAACCAGCTGATTTCAGGAGAGAACCATCTAGTGGGGAGTCGGTCTGCTGATGGACTGCTCAAGGGCTCCTCATTACTTTCACACGCCCTCCATGAGCACGGCCATCTTTACGGACCCCAACGCCAGCCAGCCACTAAAACCAACAACAGTCATTCAAAACTGAGCTTCTTCCACCCAAATCTAACAGTGCTCATGCTTCTGCTAGCTCTGAAAAGAAAGGAATAACTGGGGAACCCCAAGACATAGTAAGAAATGAAGTCCATTCTTCTCTGTTCTTTACCATAACAGGTAACAGCAGCATAGTTCCAGAAGAGCATGTTACCAACAAACCAGGATGTAAGCACCGAACTCTCCAAACAAGCTAAGACTGCTTTATCAGGAGACAGTCATACATAATTTAGCATTCTCAGACTCCTACTAAGTCAGCTTCTTCTTTATCCATACTATTTCTTTGTTGCTGTTAAATGCCATAGAGTTGGTTCTGATCCATAGCAACCCTGAATAGGGTTTCGGAGGAGCAGCTGGTAAGCCTGAAAAGCCAAACTTGCGGTTCAAACCAACTTTTCTCCTTACAAAAGCACTACACACTTAGCATCAGTTTTTCAAATGTACAGATAAAAAAAAAAAAGCTTACAAGGGGTGAGGCAATTGTCCAATATGAAAATGACCAGTTGAGATTCTAGAGCTACGACCCAAACCTAAGTCTATCTCCCAAGTCTGCCATCTGCAGGCCTCCCTTATGTAACCTATCTGCTGTCCCAGCTGGTGTTGCTGGTGGTGTGCCTTAGAGTCAGTTCCGACTGATCGCGACCCTGTGTAGGGTTTCTGAGGTCACTAATCTTAATGGGAGCAGAGAGCCTTATCTTACAGGAAAAAAATGAATTTGAATCATGTTACCATTTTCAGTGGCTACCAGGTGATAAATCCTGTATTTGAAAACCGTCCACTGATACTAAACTGCTGGCATCCAGACTGCACATCATGAGCTAGGCACTACTCCTAGCTTAACTAGATTAATTTACTTCCTCTTCACAGCAGCCTTTTGGTGTGGCACTGCAGGATAGCACTGGACTGTTAACCGCAAGGTCGGCAGTTCAAAACCACCAGTCACTCTCAGAAACTTTAAACAGAGTCAACTGTGAGTTGGAACCAATTCAAAGGCACTCAGCAAATATCATCATCCCCATGTCACAGGTGAGAAAACTGAGCTACAAGAGGTTTGGCAACTTGCCTGAGCCACTCTACTAGGAAGATGTTGAGTGAGACTCTCCTCCCCCCACCCAAGCCCCCGCAACAGTTTGGCTTCCATAGCCCTGACTCTGGCCCGTTCCGCAACTCTGACTCTCTAATGTACCCATGGAAAGTACATGGGGAAGCTTGATGTCTTTTCTTAGTAGTTCCATCAAGGTGGTAGGTATTATTTCAAACTGCACTGAGAAACTGGGGGGTGTATGAACTGGGGGATAGATGAACTTGGGGATGGATGAGCTGGGGGATGGATGCTGCAGAGGAGAACTGCTCCACAGGGCTGCCACGGCTGTGACCCTTCAGAAGCAGACTTGTCTCCCGAGGGATCTAGGGTGGGTTTGTTCAGCCAGTGGTCCAGCACTTACCGATCTGTTCCACATCCACAGACTCCTTGTATAGGGGTTCTCAGAAGCAGCTAGTGGCTTTGAACTGCTGACCCTGTAGTTGGCAGTGCAGTGCCACACCAGAACTCCATATATATACATGCTGTTGTTTAGTGCTGTAGAGTCAGTTTCAACTCACAGCGACCCTGTACAGGGTTTCCAAGGAATGGCTGGTGA